AAAATTGGCACCCCATGTGTTTAATGTGACTGTGGGTAATCACTGTTTAGATTTTAACAGATTGACCAAAAGACGGATAATGCAAAGTATTCTCTTAAGAGCATCACAGGCTGTGTTTTTCTGAAATGGTGAAGCTCTCTGTCCACCATGCACCATCGCACACATGCCAGGGTGGAAAAGTTAATTTTAGCAAATAACAAGTTAAAAATATTCAAACATAGACTGATCAGATAGCCTTGCTTCAAATTCTCAAGGTTTGGAATAAATGACAGCGGTATAATATTGAATCATTAAAGTAATCATGGAGTCCAGATATGTGAGCTGCAGCTCTGATTGCAGTATGGTGTATTAATAACACAGAGAAAGAAAGTGGATTAGGAAAGAAAGGGAAGTTGAATGAAAAAGTGCGTGTAGCTGATCTCTATCAGCATTTTTCATGCCAACAGCAACAGCATTATATAGTGGGAAAAAGTCTTTAAGTGCCCCTCCTGTGTGCCAAGCTTTGTGTGTGTGAGCGTGTGTGTGTGTATTCTGTATCTTTTAATGATAGAGCACTCACATTTACAGGGCAGGGTGATGCTGGATGTTCCAGTGAAAGAGTCCTGTAAACTGGATGTGGAAAGAGTGACGTGAGCATCACTTCAAAACAGCATCTGCACATGCTAACACACACACACACACACCTACACCGTCACACCAACACACACTTTATGACGCATGTGAGTTGAAAGGACCTGCGTGGAGCAGTTCTATCAGCAAATCAGTGAAATGGGTTTTCTGTAATGTTACAGGAGAAACAGGAATGAGCATGTGCAGTGGGCTGCACTACATGGAAGTAAGGGAGGGGTATTAATATTTTATTATTTATTATTAGTTTTATAGACACTTTTATGATAGTGGTCTGGTGGTTTAAATGCTTTTGGGCTTGGAGGGATTTGTTCATTGCAGTACCACAAGTTCAGTGACCACAGGGCTTGACTGACAGCGCCACATCTAGCTAACTCTCTAAATACATCCATGACCAGGATGCCAAACAATTTCTTGGCCGTTAACACTAATTCTCTAGAAGTTACTTTGCTGGTTGCCTTGCAACTCCTGGGCCAGCAAATCATCCGACACATAAGCCTGATCTGAATGGACAGCAAATTGTCACTTTAACACTTTTTAGTACAGATTAAACAAACAAGTGGGGGTTGAAATAAACCGGGGTTGTGCTCGTCCATGGCATCAGGGGACGCTAACTTCGCACATCTTCAACAATGTATACATCTTTACAATTTTCTCAGTGAGAGTGGTAATTCCAATCTAACTCTTGAAAGTAAAATAATAAAAATAATAAAATAAAAATGTATGATATTGTGCATTGGTAATGGACCGTACAAAGTTCCTTTATAAGGTCAGAACTGCATAATAGGTCCCTTTGTTCAACTTGGGATTCAAACCACTCTGAGGGAAGTAGTGTCAGAAATTAGATGCTAAATATCAAACAGCAACGCATTATTATTATTATTATTATTATTCAGGCCCGTTTTCTTGCCCAGAGTCCTGATCATATTGTCATTCTTTTTTAAACAGATATTATAATAAGCAACCCTTTTAATTAATTAAATAAACTGAATAAATCAAATTCATTTCACTCAGAGTAGAGCAAGGCCAGTGATATGTGCCAGTTCTCCGGTTGAAAAGGAAAATTAAGTCGAGAGTAGAAAGTATGAGATGATAATATTCCATTATAGAGGCCTTTATTCAGTCCGGAGAAGACCCGACTTGAAACACACAGACTGAAATAGAACAAGAAATTAAATGGGCCCTAAATATATCCAGCAGCAATCCTCAGCGCTGTCATTTTCTATCTCATAGTACTTTGTGCTGTTTCCCCCTCAACATCCTGCTGCATAGTAAGTAATGTGATTAATATACTGTTAATTTGTGTGAGATGGTTGATGTGAAATTGAGGTCTTGTATGCATTGCATATACTGTATGTGTTATAATTAAATATTTGTGTATATCAGCTTTATTTACTATTTGCGTAGTGGGGATAAATCTGAAGCGGATGAAACACTGAATGACTGGATTTGCATCTGACCCACTTCCATTTGATTTGCACAAGTGGATTTGCAATATGCAGATACAGCTGTATGAAAGTGAGCTGTGAGAAAGTTGTTTGTACAATGGGCCACGTCTCAATGCTAATGGGGACGATGGATAAGACCTTTGTAGTGTTGCACTCGGTTGTGTTGGGGAGTAGTGATGCTACATGTTGCACCACTGCTAGCTCAACTCCCAGTAGCTTTTGGGGCGGCACAGCTACTTTCAAAATCATGCAACATTTCCAGTGGCCAGCTAATTCCATTAAGCAGCATGATAGCACAACCTCACAACAACAACAAAAAACAAGTGCAGATTCTGCACGAGCACCTCCCTGTCTTTGAATTCAGGAGCGAATCAATCAAGCAGAGTTTGACCATGTGTGGCGGAGAGATAAGGGGCCAGGAGTTGTTACGCCGTGGACACACT